TCCTTCCAGTGTGATAGAAGGTCTCTAGACCCTTCATGCATATGATCAGGTTGTTTTGTGATGATGAGTTAGTTATACATTATATGAGTTGTATGTGTCTACATGTCTGTGTGGTGGCAGGGGAGAATAAAGCAGATCAGAGAGCAGAGAGGTTAATTACCCAAATCATCCTCATTTAATATCATCACCAGACAGTAGAAACAATGGGATTTTGTGACTATAGTAGTTAACATTCTGTTGATTGGAAGTACTAGATGTTTATCTGAGCTAATTAAACAATTAAAGGAAAAGGAAGTAAGGCTTTGAGATTTGGGCTATAAGCTGTCTGAATTGTAGGGATGCAGCTACACCTCAGAAGGGAACTGGAACCAGGAATTTGAATGAATGTGTTATAAACTCTTTTGTGTGTGTGTGTGTGTGTGTGTGTGTATGTGTGAATCTAATTCCCATTTATATTCTCTCTCTCTCTCTCTCTCTCTCTCTCTCTCTCTCTCTCCCTCTCTGTCTCTCTCCTATATCTTCCATGGCTTTTTATTATACTTTTGAGGAAGGACTTTAAGGATAAGAATTATTGTTGCTACTTCACCACTATTTCAGGGAGACAAAATGAGTTGGGGATGTAGCCCAGTCAATAGAGCTCTTGCCTAGCATGCTCAAAGGCCTGGGTTTGCTCCTCAGGTCCACATAAAACTCGGCATAGTTGTGCATGCCTGTAATCCCAGCACTGGAGAGTCAGAGGCAAGAGGATGAGAAGTTCAAGGTCATACTTGGTTACATAGCCTTAGTTAGTTTGAGGCCAGCCTGGGCTATGTGAAACTCTGTAGAGAGAGAGAGAGAGAGAGAGAGAGAGAGAGAGAGAGAGAGAAAACATTAGGGAGACATCTGTCTCTTGATTATAAAGATTTTATTTGTTTCAAATCAAGAATTGCTAGCTCAGGGCTGGAGAGACGGCTCAGCCGTTAAGAGCACTAACTGCTCTTGCAGAGGACCTGGGTTCGATTCCCAGCACCCACATGGCGGCTATGAACCCTCCTTAACTCCAGTTCCAGGGGAATCTGAAGCCCTCTTTTGACCTCCGTGGCATTGCATGACACCGGTGCACTCATATATATGCAGGCAATACACTCATACACATAAAATAAAAATAATAATAAAATAAAGAATTGCTAGCTCTTCGTTTTCTGTCTTTACTAAGGTAAACCTGCATGAAGTTCACAAATTTTTATTTTATTTTATTTTATTTAACAAAGAAGTCCATCAGTTCAGAACTGGTGTGCATATCTTGAAAACTCATGGCTAGAGAAAGAGCCTAGTGAAGGCAGAGGCTTTCACTTTTATTTAACATGATCCCTAGTAAAAATCAAACAAATAAACCCCGATCTTTCCATAATACCATGACCTAGGACATACATGTATTCGACTGTCCACATTGACAAATAGGATCTGTGCAGTTTGGCTTCTTGAGATTTGCTAGTCTATAAAGCAAAAAACCATAGTGCTCTAGACTGAATGTTTGTGGGTTTTCCTCAAATTCAGATTTTGAAATCCTAAGCCCCAAATTGACACTATCAGGAGGTGGGGTTTATGATGGAGGACAGGTAATGCTGCTGTTGTTGAATCCACAGGTCAGAGAGGTACAGGGTGGTATGTGATCTGAGCTCGGCCTGGGAGTGAAACTCTGGAGTTCTCTTACCCTCTTTTCGAGATGTTGACAGTTACAACTCGGAGAGAACCCTCACCAGAATACAACCATGCTGACTCCCTGATTTTAGATGTCTAGTCTCCAGAACTGTAATAAAAGTCACTTTAACTATGGTATGCTGTTCTCTCAACCCGGACTAATCAAGACCCAGCCCCCAAACATTCAGCTGTCAGCATCTTCTCTGTTCAAGAAACCATCTAAACTGCAGCAGAAAGCATACTTCCAACTCCTCAACCCCAAATACCCAGGAGACATTTTATTGTTCTAGCTTGAGTCAGGTGTCTATTCCTGATCAGGGCACCAAGTTCAAGTTCACATAAAAATGGTTACCAGAGGCTCACTTCCCCATTTCTTCCAGCTTTAGCATTCAGATCTGGAGGGACAGAGCAGTTCCCAGAAAAGGAGTGGCCAATTAGATCCGTATTGTTGTGCCAAATTTGGACTTGACCTCAGGTTCTCCATATCCTTATTTTATGATACTAGAAAAATACTTTTGAACATATATTATTTTCCTAGTATGTTCCAGGAACTGTGTGTGCTAGGCTCTCTGTAAACAATACAGACCTTTCTTCAAGAATCTTAGATTCTGATGGGAGACAGAGAAGAAGAAGAAATATTCTACTAAGTATCATAGCTATTGTTGAAGGGCTAGAGCAGGTTACCATAGTAATATATAAGGAAAATCTAACCTGGACTAAAGAGATTCAAGAAAGCTTCTTAGGGATGAGGTTTCAGTCTGTAGCCTTGGCTGACCTGAGACTCACTGTGGAGAACAGTGATACTTCTGCACCAAGGAAGAGTAATATCTTAAAGACAGGAAATGAGCAGAAATCCCATTCGAAAAAAGAAGAGTAATAGTTACAAAATCAATTGGAATTTTGAAAATAGTTTCACTACAGAAATTATAATGGGATTTTCATGGGGACTTTTGCTATATTTTAAAATTAACTCAAAGGAAATTGACAACAGAGATGTTATATTTCCATATGTTTGAGACTTTATTCATGTCCCTATGGTAATTTAAAGATGACGTTAATAGCATAGGTTTTCTTCTCTAAGATTTGTGTGCTATTCCTGCCATCTAGTATGTGAGATCTTGACCTTGGGAAAGTTACTCAGAAGCCTCAGTTTCCTGGTCTATAAGATGGGGTGACTGGTAGCTACTCTGGGGGTTGCTTTCTGTGTTTTCTCATTCTCCTTACATAATATATCTATTTTCCATATATATAATCCTCCTTGTGACCCTCACCCCTCTCTAGTTTCTTGGTTCTTCAAATAGATCCTATAATTCCTTATAAATACAAACTTATTATTTTTGAACATGATCCTTTCCACTACATTTTTTAACTGGAAATTGTCACTTAGGAAAGATACTTCTCTAGTCAGAAAATAGGTCTTTTGTTGTTGTTATTTTCTTTCCAAAATGTATACTCCCTATTGTTTTGTTTGGCTTTACTGGGTTCAGTTAGGAGCTCAGGAAAACATTGCCTAGTAGCAGCAGACCTGGCCTCAACAACTTCATGACCCAGGGCAAGAGTTCTAAAAAAGGTCACACATCTTATGTCTAAATATTTAAAGATTATAAATCAAGTCAAACATATGTTAGATTAAAAGGTTTTAACCTTCTACATGGTACATTTAACTTACAGCCAATATGCACTACTCACCTGGTTGGCCCATTTCCACTTAAGAATCCTCAAGTGCCATAGTACTTGAGGTCGCCTCAGAACTTAGCATCAATCACCTTTACTTCAAAAGGTCTTGTTTATCTGACTTGTGTTTGTATGTAGTGTATTTGTGTATGCGTGTGTGTGTGTGTGTGTGTGTGTGTGTGTGCACAGTTGGAGGCCAGAGGCTGTTGTCAGTCAGGTGTATCTTGATCCACCTTGATTTTTGAGGAAGGGTGGTCTCCCAGTGAACCTAGAGCTCACCAATTCAGCAAGAGAAGCTGGCCAGCTAGCTCAGGAATCCTCCTGTCTCTGCCTCCCCAGCACTGAGATTACAAGTGTGTGCCAGCTTTTTATGTGGGTGCTGGAAGTCTAAACTCAGGTCTTCATGCTTGTACAGTAGTCACTTTACTGAATAAGCCATCTCCCCAGACACCTTGTTTAACTAACTCTTGTATAACAATGTTTCCCATGGTATTGTCTAACATCTTAATTTTTCTCCTTGGAATTAAAATCTCATAAATACCTAATTCCTTAGATTAACTGTAACTTTACCACCCAATATAACCTCAAAGGAAATCCAAATTTCCTAGTAAGTCATGTGCTTTGTTTTAGAAATTGCTCTTCAGGACATTCTTAGGTCCCTTAATCTGTGACCCACAATTTCTCCCTCTACTCCCATTCACCACAGACTTGAAGAACTGAGTTTCCTTACAGCTGGTGAACATCCTTAAGAATGTTGAAAACTACGCCACTAGGAGATCCACTCTAAGCAAACCATCTGAATATCAAGGTACATATTTTTTAAAAGGGCCAGATCTGGGGGTTAAGCCATCTGGAGAGAACTTGTGACCTGACTGGCTTTAAAACCAATCCCTTGCTTGGTCTTGCAGCAGCTCACCAGCTGAACTACTTGGTAAGGAAGGTAGGAAAACCAGCTGGTAGGGCAGCTCTGTCACAAACAGGCTTAACCAGAGTGAGTCACTTCAAAGGTCTGCTGGGCCTCAGAGCCACCATCTACCATTGCAGTAAGGACACATGCCTAAACACTCCAGCAGGCTTTGGATTAAACTACAGTTCATCTGAGCTCCCATATCCTTGCTTATTACTGTTAAGACAAGACCCCTGTCCTGTCCACTCACAGGCTTTGGGAGTGAGGGGGGGAAGGCATACCTTTCTGAGCTTAGTTTGTTGGCAGCCTGGCAATAAAATTTAATGAACACATGTGGGTGCTGAGAATCGAACCGGGGTCTGCAAGAGCAGCCAGTGTTCTTAACCGCTGAGCCATCTCTCCAGGCCCCTGCAAAAGAAATTGTGCAGGAAAACTGCAAAATGCAGAGACTATCCAAAAGTGGATTGTCTTAAAACACGTTACACAAGACCTTCAAAACGCAGGTGGGACTCTTTCTTCCGGACTGCAGTGCCCCAATCCCACGAAGAAAATCAAGATCCCTTTTAAAACAGACTTGGCCTGAGTTTGCACTCCAGGAGGCTAGCTTGCAGGCGGCAGGGGCGGAGCCAGTAGACCCGCCCCTGGAGACGCCCCGCTCCTGGCAACGCCCCGCCCCCGTCCCGTCCGCGCCTGCGCACTACGCGCGGACCAGCTTCGAGCGCCCCGGCGGGAGGTAAGGGGCTCGCTAGCCGCTGCCTGGGGAACGCTGTGCCGCGCTGTGCCCGGGGCCGGCTGTCCGCGGGCGGAAGAGGTGTCCGGCGGGAAGCGCGGCTTCGGGTCGGAAGTGCGAGTGTCGCGGCGGCCCCCAGGAGTGGCCGAGCCTCCCGGGGTTTCGGTTTTTAAGCTGCTGTCCCGAGCGGGGCACGGGGAGGCCGCGGCCTGGCAGCAGGCTGGCCTCCCTCTGGGATCGCGGTGGAGGAGTGGCCCGCGTCGGCTCGGGATGGCCGGGGTCGCCCGCCCAGCCTGCTACCGGGGCCCAGGTGCGCCCCCGGGTGACTCGGCGAGGCCTGACGCGACGCTGGGGCACGGGGGAGGCGGGGAGAGCACAGGGACACTGACCTGACGTAGCCCGCGATGCTACACCCGTGCGCCGGGCAGAGGCCCGAAGCGCCGGGCGCCACCCCATGACCGCCCCTCACCGGGATCGGTTCTCAGCGGGGTAGTGGTGGGAGCTTCTCATGGAAAGGGGGCTTTTTCGTTTATAAGTAACTCTTGAGTGATTTTGACGTCACCTCTCAGTACTTTTTCTTCAACGGGGACCTGAGTGTTAGGTACCCTACTTTTTTAGTTGTAAGCACTAAAGGATCAAGTTTGTGAAGCACCTGGCACACTCCTGGCACCTCCCGCTGCAAGTGTGTGTGTGTGTGTGTGTGTGTGTGTGTGTGTGTGTGTGTGTGCTGTGCAGATGATTGCAGTCCTGGCATCGAAATGTTTCTGTCATTCATTTTAGTGTACATACACAAAAACACAAAACTTCACTTGGAAATAATTTACAGAGAAGTTGCACAGCACAGGAAATGCTATGGCTTCCCTTATGCTAATATTTTATACAACATACATAGTATATTCATTAAGAGCAACAAATAAATGCCAGATTAACTGTGTGTGTTTCTCCTGATTCCATTCTTTTCATAGTAATGTCGTTTCTGCATTCTAGGATGGAATCTAAAACCCTACCTCACACTTTATACATATGGCTCCATCACCTTTTCCAGTCTGTGACAGTCTTTTTTTTTTTTTTTTTTTTTAATGTGTGTGAGTGTATTGCCCGCATGTGTGTAAGTGCACCCATGTTGTGCAATGCCCATGGAGGTCAGAAGAGGGCGTTGGATTCCCCTGAAAGTTACAGTTGTTATTATGTGGGTGCTGAGAATCAAACGTGGGTCTTATGCAAGAACAGCCAGTGCTCTTAACTGCAGAGCCATCTCTCCAGCCACCTGTGACAGCCTTTTCATGACTTTTACGATCTTTTTACTTTTTTAAAAAATTATTTTTATTTGTATGGTTTTGCCTGCATTTATGTTGGTGCACTATGTGTGTGCAGTGCCGGTGGAGGCCAGAAGAGGGCTTTAGATACTCTGGAACTGAGCCACAGTTGATTGTTAGCCACTCTATGGGTGCTGAGATCCAAACCCCAGTCCTCTGGAAGAGCAGCCAGTGCTTATAACCTCTGAGGCAATCTCTCCAGCTCCAAACTTCTCTTTTGAAGAATTTGGATTATTATGTAGTGTCTTTTAAAATAGGGGTTTGTCCAAAAGTTTGTCATGATTAAATGGTTAGTCATTTTTGTTAAGAATACCTGTAAGTGTAAGTGCACTTTTCAGTTTATCTCATCAGGGTACCTCAGGATTGGGCTTATTGATTATGATGTTAGTCTTCATCACTTAGTTAAACTTGGGATTCTTCAAATCAACCGTGCTATTACCATAGTATTATAATGGTGATCTATTTTCCTTCTCCTTTCCTGATTTGAATTCTTCTCTAGTGAAGAACTGACCATTCTCCCCATTCATTTATTTGTATTAAGTTATTTTTCTCAGCATAAATCAAAGTATTTGTTTTTCTGCTGTTCTGGTATTCACTTCATGTATCAAATTATTCCCACTTTGGCCATTAGGAGCTTTTATTTTGTTGGTGACCTTGCTTTCTGTACCCCTTGCATTTTCCCTGTCCCAGTCCTGGAATCAGCCACTTCTCCAAGGACTCCTGGTTTGCCTTCCCCTATTGCTTTCCTCCCCATGTCCTTCAGGATGTTATTAGGTACTAAGATCTGTGGTCTGGTATGCTCATAGCTTTTAGGGTATCATTGTCTCCAGAGCCTCATAGAAGACAGCAGAAAACACATATACACACAGATGCATGCAGGATTAATATTTATTCTCTTTTTGTGTATGTTAAAAAAATAAAAGTGTAGGCCAGTGTCTCTGATTCTCTTCCCATACCACCAAGTTCATCCTGATGCTGTCCCTTTTTGTTACCTCTTTCTCTGGCAATGAGGACTGTGACTCATTTTCTGTGAAATGTTTTTCTTATTGGTTCAGTCTTGGTATCTGCATACAGTAATTTCAGGATTTCTAACCTAGACTACTGAGGGAACAAGTTTGTTAGCGCACAGTACCTCTGTTTTCATCATTAGCCTTAGAGTCTTCAGTGCAGCTGTTGACTATTGTTGCTTTCTTTAATTGCCTTCTTTCCCATGTCTTTTCATGTGTAATACAATATTATTTTTGATAGTTTATTCTTAATTTTAGATCTCTCCTATGTTGGTTGTCTATTAAATATATAGAGTAATATACAGTCTTTGTGGTCTACAGTTTCATGGGTTTTGATGAGGGCAAATAGTTACATATCACCACATGACAGAATTTCATCATGAAATATTTTATACTTTTTTAAAATGCTAAAAAACCAGGCATGGTGGCACTCAGGAAACAGGCATTTGGATCTCTGTGAGTTCAAGGCCAGCCTGGTCTACTTTTTTGAGTTCCAGGCCAGCTGGGGCTACAGGGAGTCGCTGTCTTCAAGCAAACAAAACAAAAGAATTAAATGTTAAAAACAGTATAACAGCTTCACAGAAATTTGGGAAATTAGGCATTTTGTATATTTTGTTTTGTTTTTCTTGGAAATTTTTACAGATATGAGATGTGTGTGTGTGTGTGTGTGTGTGTGTGTGTGTGTGTGTGGTGTGTTAATGTAAGCACATACCAAGTATTTATTCTATATATCTGAAATTCACATTTAATTATGCATCTTCTATTTTTTGCATGATCTATATACATTCTGTTATGTATATATTTTTATTGAATTTTTACAATTTCCATACAATATAGTTTGATCCCCTCCCTTATCCATAACCCCCCACTACACCCACCCAATTTAATATAATACAGCCTGTAGAGTCTGATTTGTGTCCCTAAATGTCTTCAATGTGGGTCCATCCACTGGGTCCAATAAGAGTCCCATCACTGTCTTTCCCGCTCCCAGCAGCCATCAAATGCCAGAAGTTCCTTAGGTTGGGTTGGAATTTCTTACCCACTTCCCATGTCTGTGCTGGAATTTTGTCTGGTTTGAGCTTATGTAGGGTTTGTAAATACTGTCACCGTTGCTGTGAATTCATATGCATAACTGACCAGCTGTCTGGAAGACTGTTTCCTTGTGGCCATCCACCCCCACTGGCTCTTACAATCTTTCCGCCTCTTCTTCTAAAGTGATCCCTGAGCCTTGGGAGGCAGAAGTGTGAAATAGATGTCCTATTCATGGATAAGTACATTGGTCTCTTGTTCTCTGCTCACTGGCCAGTTGTGGGTTTCTGTGTTCATCACCATCTGCTGCAAAAGGAAACTTCTCTGGTGAGAGTTGAGAGATGCATTCATCCTATGTGTAGAGGTTACATTGAAGATGTGTCACTTAGGGTTAAGTGTCTCACAGACATGTATTCTCTGCATTTGACCAATTGTGGAACTCTGTAATAGTCTCTGTCTGTTGCAAAAAGAAGCTTCTTTGATGAGGGGTGAAAGGTACACTTGTCCAGGCTAGTCAGTAACTTTCTGACCCTTAGTGTGTTTTTAATCTTCATGTTTTAATAATTTAATATGCTCCAATTTTATGACTAAAAAGATGCTGAAATGTATTTTCAGTATTCAACAGCACTTCTAAGCCACATTTTAATATTGAACTGAGATCTTCCTATAACAGCTAACAAACATTTGAGCTATTTTATAAATTGATCCCCTGCTGAGCAGTGTTAGGTTACAATAACATTATAATGTCTCCAATTATTTGAATCTTATGCTGTCACTTCTATAGGTTATAAATTGTGTAAAAATAGAAAACTTTAGAGAAAAATACTAGCTAAGAGGAGACCATGAATTAGGAAAGTCTCTTGGGACAACATTTTTTTCATCAATCAATCATTGATTAGAATATGAATAGTTATTTTGTTATCTTTCTAGTGGGACTATAAACAGGCATAACATGGCATATTTGCAATGTATATATTTATTTTAACTTTTAAATTGTGTCTCCTAATATTTCTATTTCTAGGTGCCTTTTTTGGTCTTTTGGAGATAGGGTCTCCTTGTAGTGCCAGCTGGCCTGGAACTCACTATGTAGACCAGCTTGGTCTTGAACTCACAGAGATCCACCTACCTCTCCCACCCAAGTGCTGGGATTAAAGGTGTGTGCTTGGCTCTAGGTACCTATTTTAAAGGAATAGTCATAGGGTCTGGAAAGATGGCTTAGCAGTTAAGAACATTTGCTATTCTTCTAGAGGACCCATGTTCGATTCCCAGCACCCACATGGAGGTTAACAACTATCTGTAACTCCAGTTCCAGGGGGCTCCAACACCTTCTTCTGGCCTCTGTGGGGCATTGCACGCACATGGCGCACTTACTTATGCATTCAGGCAAAACACTTATACATATAAAATAAAAATAACTTTTTTTTAAAAAAGAATACTCATAGATGGCAGTATGGATTTATGTATGAAGGGAGTAATTACACCATAGTTTAAAATGGTGGAAAATTGGCATTAACCTAAATAGCTAACAGTGGATGACTAGAGTACAAAATATAAATGTAACACCATGCTGCTAAAAGCAGGAACATAATAAAAATTGTTTACATGACAACATTTTTGTATACTTATGTTATTGAAAATAAATCCATTCAATCAGTCAGTAATCGGGTATTAGTCACTCCTGGCCATTCCACTCCTTTGGGCTTATTTCTTTACTGTTAAAATATGTTTTTATAATGCTCTGTAGCATTTGATGTTTTGAGGAAGAGAAGAATGAATTTAGCCTTTCAGGAAATATTTTTCAACCACATGTTACCTGCTAGATACCATAAAAGATTCTGGAGATCCTAAGATGTACCAAAAAGAAATACATGCAGGCAGGCATGCACATGCACGTGTGCACACACAAACACACACACACCTTTTAGTAGTGCCTTTAATGAGGAGTTTGTTAATAAACTCAGTCTTTGCATGTCTGAAAATAATTATTTTTACTTAGTGTAAATGATAATTTACCTGGGCATACACCAACTCCCTCAGCACTTTGAAGTAATCCTATCTTTTGATATATTGCTTTGATGAAAAGTTGGCTGCTTTTGTTGTTTTCATTTATCTGTTATCTGTGGTTTGCTTTGTAAGATTTTTTTCAGTGTCCTTGATGTACTCTAATTTCCTATCATGTGTGTAGTTGTTTTTCACGTGTGCTAGCAGGCTTCTGAGCTGTTTCAACCTGAGATGTCATGCCTTCATTCTCAGCATATTCTCTTGAACGCTTCCTGCTGATGGCTTCTGTATTCCTATGTGATGCTGAACTTGTCATTTCACTCTTCATGTCCTTTCTCATAGTATTCTTCATCTTCTTCTCCTTCAGGCTCTGGATGACACCCCCCATTCAGTGATCCTCTCCCACTGGGTGTGGTTTCCTGTTTAGCTCATCTTTTGAGACTTTCATTCTGGAATTTTTACTTGCTTTATATTCGGATTGGCCTGTTAACTCTTTAGGAACATTATCTATTTGTTGTTGTTGTTTTATTTTTTAAGAGCCCATTCCTTCCTTTGTCTTTTTAAAAGTCTGTCCCTTCATTTATGTCTTTGTATATTTAAAAATAAACATTGCTTCTCTTTTTGGATCACTTTATTCTCTCTAGGCCCTTAGTTATTTTCCATGCTTTGTTGGGTCTGTTTCTTTTGGTAATGCACTTCTCTTTGTGTCTCCCCATTCCTGTCCACTACTGTCGCTCAGTTTTAAGTATGTTTTTGGTACCTGGAAATTTTCCTTGAGACCTTATGTGGGATGTAAGAACCATGTTACTAGTGGATGGGTAATGGCAGCAGTTTTTAATAACTAGTGCCTCAAGATTTTCAACTGTGGAATATTATTTAGAACAGTGGGTCTTAATGTTTTGTGTTAATAGATCTCTGAGAATCTCATGTAAACAATGGATTCTAGAGGCTCAGGGTCTCACAGTTTATATATGAAGACATTTCTTTGTGTGTCCTGGGCTAAGAAACCATAACCCATGAGAGTTAAGTTTCTAAGCAGTGGAGCACACTATTCATATAAGATCTACTAGAAGCTCAAATTAATAAAAATTGATGTAAGTGAAATTTCTCCAGTTAAAGTCAAGATGGGGTCTTGGGACATGCTCACTTCCAGTTTCTACCTTTCCCTGTCCTGGCCCCAAAGGCATATGTTAGACCTTTCTCTGCCACTGGTAGAATTCTGCTGGTAAAATAGAAAAAGTATTTGCTTATATCTGTAGAAAAGGTGCTGCTTAAAAATTTTTTAAACGCATTTATTTATTTATTTATTTGTGTGCGTGTGTGTGTGTGTGTGTGTGTGTGTGTGTGTGTGAGATGCATGTGCCATAGCATGCATGTAGAGATTAGAGGACAACTTGATGGAGTTGGTTCTCTCCTTTTGTCATGTGGGACCTGGGTATCAAGCTCAGGTCGTCAGGCTTGGCAGCAAATGCCTTTATCTATTGAGCCTTTCTGACAGCCCAGAAATCTGGTTCTTTTTGGAGTCCTGCCACTAGTCATTTGTGTGAGTTGTAGACAGTACTAATCACTTTGTTATAAAAGGAGGAGATTTACAGAAGAATAATGAGAGGAGTTCTATATTCTGGTATATTTGAAGTATATAATCAGAGTTGCATTATGGTGCATTGAAAGTGGAATTTGATACAAACAATGTTAAGGACAAAATTTTTCCTTCAAGTTCTGCTATTTAACAATTTTTAAAAGATGGATATATGGATAGTCAATGTTCAAAATATATCAAAAAGTACTCCTAATTTTTGAAAGCTGTTTACACACATATTTTACATCAAAAAAGACCTTAGAAGACAGTTACTAAAATGTAAAGAATAGTTAATTGAGGATGAGGAGATCATTGTTAATTTTACATTATTTTATTTTAAAGATTTATTATATTATTTATGTGTATGTGTTCGTGTACCTGTATGTACATGTGAGTGCAGATGCCCATGGAGAACAGAAAAGGGTTCAGATCACCTGGAGCTGGAGTTACAGGTGGCTTTGTGCCATCTGATATGGGTGATGGGAACTGAACTCTGGTCCTCTCCAAGAGCAATACATGCTCTTAACCACTGAGCCATCTCTTTAGCCCCATTAGTTTTATTTTAGTCCGTTCATTTGCTTATATTTTGTTTTTTAAAAATTTATTATATTTTTTATTTAAAATATTTTATTAGCATTTATTGCTTTCTTTCAGAAGTAACATGATTACATTGAAACACTTTGGAGAATTTGGAAAGGGAGTGAATGGCAAACTCACATTATAGAAACAATGCCAAATTTCACATTGTTGTTGAAGCCTGGTAGTACAGTTTTGTCAGTAAACAATATTCAGAAATTATAGTAGACATATAGAATTTTGAATTTGTATTCTAAGATAATTTATTACATTTTTATTTGTTTTATGTGTATGTGCGCACGTGTGTGTGTGTGTGTGTGTGTGTGTGTGTGTGTGTGTAGGTAGGTAGGTGTGCATACACCATGGCATTCATGGGGATGTCAGAGAGCAGCTTGTGGAAGTTGGTTCTTTCCTTCTACCATGAGGGTCCTGGGTGTTGAACTCAGGTTGTCAGACTTGGTAGTAAGCTTCTTTACCCTCTGGGCCATTTTGCTGGCCTCCATTTACTCATATTTTCCAAATGTTCTAGAGTGAGCTTAGGAGGTGGAAGCAAGACGATCAGGATTTCAAGGCCAGCCTAGACCTATGTAGTGCGTTGGAGGCCTGCATAGGCTAAATGAGACCCTGTCTGGGGGAAAAAATAGACTTGTTACTTTCATAAAGTGAATATTTTAAAATACATCATTTCATAAAGAAAAACCAAGCCATTCAAGTTCAGCATTGAGTTGAATATATATTTAGTAAACTGTTTACTTATTGTTGATTTTTAAAAAGAATGAAAACTGATGTAAAAACATTCTCAAGGAAATATTTCCCTTTTAGGCGTTTCTGTATGTGTGGAAAGGACAGTTGCTGCAAGTAGAAGAGACTCAACAGGTCTTAGGATGTCTGAAGACGAAGAAAAGGTGAAGTTACGCCGTCTGGAACCTGCTATCCAGAAGTTCACTAAGATAGTGATCCCGACAGACCTGGAGAGGTTAAGAAAACATCAGATAAATATTGAGAAGGTGAGCTCTTTTATTTCCACTACAAGAAACTGGAACCCAAGCTGACTTCCATTTGCTGTGCATTTCAGATAAATACAGACTATCAGGTAGGTGGTGCTAAGATACCTTGGTCTGCTGACAGCAGCATTTGCTTTTTAAGCTGGTCTTTCTGTTCTACAGGTAGAACTCTCATATATATATATATATA